AGCAGATTTTTTTCTGGACTAGAAAGATTTCTCAAACTTTCTTCTTTCTTGGCATATTCTAGTCCAGTGCTCTGGTGTTCAGGGAGAAGAGGGACATAATGCGTCACACTTTTATTTCAAACAAATATTTTAGACTGACAATCTGCTGCTACTGTTCCAGTAACGGAGGTGCTTCTATTTTTATAATGAAGGTTCACGTTAGTCCAGATACCAATGAAACTAAAGCAGGTGTTAATTATTATTATATTATTATAATATTATTATATTATATTGGGGCCAGTTTGGTTTTATATTCACAGATTAAACCTTAGATTTATGAAACTAAATGTATTTGGAACCAAGGCTAAAGTATGTACATAGAATTTAATAAGAAGGCTTGTTTATAAAAGTCAACACTGAGCAATCCCTTGCCAAACTCATTTGGTGACTTCATTATATTTCTTGGTAACAACACGGAAGTGATTTGACATTGTCTCTCTGTCCCCCCCCTCGTCCCCCCCCAAAAAAACCCAAACTTCCAAAAATAGTCTTATTCTCTTCAGCTTGGAATTTCTTAGAGAGCCCCATCCAAGTATTAAGCAGATTTGACTCTGCTTATGTCAAGCATGAAAAATCAGGTCCACATTGTAAAAGTCCAGTTAAACTTGGGATTTATTGCTAATCACACCTATGCACAATAATCTTCTTAACTAATACTTAACATCTGTTTGAGGTTAAATAAGGGCCAATAGAATTCAAAGGAGGTTGCACTTAGTTTGCTTGTGGCTACATACAGTTCCTAGGCCGATCCCTCTTTTAATTCCTCCACTAGGTTCTGTCATCCTTTTACAGCTTAGCTTTTAAAATATTGACTTAAAAAGCCACAAAATAGGTACAGCTTTCTCCAAAGCCCATTTCAGAACAAGCATAAACTGAGACCTTCACCACACAATATTTTCCTAAATAAAGATACCTCTCCTTTATCTCGTTTTTCCTATTTTTATGGCTTTTAATATTTTAAATGCTAAGCAGAATCAGATCTGCTTAATATTTGGATGAGATTTTGGCCCCACTTCAATTTTAGCAATCTGTTAGAAGATTACAATTCAATAAATGTACTTCATGACAATAAACAATGGAGTGAAAAAACAGAAGTAAAAGGTATTCCTTTACAAATCAGCTTTCTATTAGATAATGATCTGTCCAAATATGTGGATTTTTTTTTTAAAAAAACATTATTATTGTTCCTCCACCTTTGATTTTTATTCCTCCTAACATGATAAGTAAAGATACATCAAAATTAAGCCTGGATCTTAACATCTAGACACAATAGACCAGGAGACCAAACTAGAAAACAAGGAACATCCATCATGACCACTAAACATATTGTCTGGGGTTGATGTGGAGTCAAATAGTGTTTGGAGTACTGCATTTCTTGGACTACCCCAATCATACCGTTGGAGCAATATCAACTTCCAACAAATGCAGTCCTCCAAACACGTTCTAGTGACTTTCCTAAGAAATTTAAATTACTTTTCTTGGTTTCAACTGCTTTCTCATCTGGTCACAAACTTAAGTTGTGGGAAGAGATTCCTTTTTTGGCCAGTCCTATTTCTCAACTATGTCTGATAGCAACTCATACTTATGCACATATGCATTTGTGGTTGGTTGGGTGGAAGAAGCATTGGATTGATTTTTTAAAAAAAATTAAATTTACCATATGAAATTCCTTCCTTCCTTCCTTCCTTCTTTCCTTCCCCTTCCTTCCTCCCTCCGTCTCTCTTTCTTTCCTTTTCTGTCATCAAATTCCATGCTATCTCTTATAGCCCACAATGAACCACATACCATAATATTTTCTGTTCATTTCAAGAAGAGATTAGCTAAAGGAAGCTGGGGTTTTTGGCCTGTGAGATTGGAAAGTCTGTTACATACCATTTTTCTTTCTTGTCCCCTCTGTTGTTTTGGGAACATAGCTTGTTGAAAAGCTATTAGGTATACTGGTAATCTGTTCATTATCCTGGGTTTAACAGGCTCCTTAAATTCTCAGGAAGTTACCTCCCTGAGTATATGAATATATGAATATAGGGTCAGTGATATCAGGCTGAGTGGAATAGTAATCCATATGGCAAGTCAGATAGTATTAAAAAGGCCGGACAAAAATCTTTTATGTAGGTTGAGCTAATACCACATCAGTTCTCAAGAGAGTTCTAAATTTTTGGCATTCTGTATTTGCCTTACTTTAAACATTGCTCCTTTACATTAGGAACCCCGCTATGATAGATTGAGAAATTACAGGAACAGTTTTCACAAAAACCACGTGTTTCCTTCTTCCCCTTTTTTTTCTGTAGAATATGAGCCACTAGATGCAATTTCACAACATTTTATGTGGGTTTCTGAGCAATCATAATGAGAGTGTGGGGACAAGTTTTGGATAGATATTTTAAAAAAATCTGGCTTATTTCAGAAAATTCCTGATCTGGAGCATTAAACAGGACTTGACAAGAAGACCTTTGAATACATGTCTATGCTATCTATCATTACCCAAACTCTCATGGTCAGTATCTCTATGTTAGGTCCTCGTGGCCATTCCTTACGTTGCTGAAACCGTGGTTTACCAATTGAGAAAGAGAATATTGTTATGCAAACAACCAGCTCTAAATTTCCCCATTGTGAGTGGAGAAGACTTAGAAAGAAATTAAGAAAGTCTCCAAGGATAAATTGGTTTGAAACCAAAAACACTTCAATTGCTACAGAGAACTCTATAAAAACCATGCTTGGAAGAATTTTTTTAAAATTTAAGATGTTCCCCCAAACCAAAAATCACCCCTTCTCTCTAGGTTTGGTTTCTATGATCCATCACCAGCACTGCACAAATTGGCATCATCACCAAATAAGGATGGGGGATACCCGACTGTGAATTTCTTTAAGGATCCACCAATCACAAGACAGAGGCACTGGCTTGTTTTTCCTGCTGCCACCACAATGTCCATAGTCATCAGCCTAGATCAAGGAGTCACTTTCAAATATTTTTCAGAAGGCCTCTGTGTATGGGACACAGGTGGCATTCAGCAGGTTCTGACCGGTTCTGGAGAATCGGTAGCAGAAATTTTGAGTAGTTTGGAGAACCGGCAAATACCACCTCTGACTGGCCCTGCCCCCATCTATTCTCTGCCTCTCGAGTCCCAGCTGATTGGCTGGGTCTTCTTTTGTTGCCCTGCACAGGAGAAGGGAGCTGGAAAGCAGGTTAGTGGGGTGGGGAGCAGCGGTGGTATTCAATTTTTTTTTACTACCGGTTCTGTGGGCATGACTTGGTGGGCATGGCTTGGTGGGCATGGCAGGGGAAGGTTACTGCAAAATCCCCATTCCCTCCCCACTAACCTGCTTTCCAGCTCCGTTCTCCTGTGCAGAGCAACAAAAGAATAGCCAGCCAATCAGCTGGGAGTTGGGAGGCAGCGAATAGATGGGGTGGGGCCAACCAGCAGTGGTATTTACTGTTTCCCCGAACTACTCAAAATTTCCACTATCAGTTCTCCAGAACTGGTCAGAACCTGCTGAATACCACCTCTGGTGGGGTGAGAATGGAGATTTTGCAGTAACCTTCTCCTGCCATGCCCAGCAAGCCACGCCAGCAAGCCACACCTACAGAACCGGTAGTAAAAAAATTTGAATCCCACCACTGGACTATGGGAGTGGAATGGGAAACTGTTTCAAACCATGATAAATTAGACACTCAAATGGGAACAATTGTCTTTGCCAAAACCCATCCCTGAAAGTAATCTCAGCGTCAAAACATTGGTTCTTCGATAGGAAGGAACACAGCCTCTAAGAAAAATAAACAGACCATTTATTTCAGCCTAGAAAAATACATAAACGAGGCCTAGAGCTTTTATATACAAGTGACTACTTCAACAGTAATCACTCAAAAAAAAAAAAAAAAAGGCACAAAGATATTTCTTTCCCTCTGGTGTCAGGTAGATGGCTTCTTCTGAATCTCTGTAGGTTTTATCTACCACAATCTAGTTTACACACAAAACCAACAAGGTGAAATACGATATCTTGGTTCCAGAATTATATATGTGAACGTTGCAACTGAGGCTTTCTCTCAAAACTGAAAATTGGATTCAGGAGATTCAAAGTAATCTCACATCAGTGTTCATTTCAGGCCCTGCTTAAAAAAAAAGCCCTACCAAAAGTAGATCTCGTTTAGTGAATCTTCTAGGTAGATTTGATCTTTTGGAGATGCTGTTTTCTGCTGGTAGAATGGTGCCACTATTTCATTTCCTCCCTGTGATACTCTGAGATTTAAAAGTTGGGATAGCTGCCTTTAAGGCCAAAGAACTAAACAGCTGAACAGAAATATAATTAAGGCTAAAGAAGCCTTGAGTTTCAGAGGAGCTTATCCAAACAATTCCTTCCAACAAAGATATCATATTGGACAAATATTTTAAGAGATAGTAGTCCATCACAATATATTGTCAGAAGAGTGGAGCTGCAGCAATCAAGTGCTAAATGAAAAGAACGATCTAACTGGTCTTGGGCTATGAACAGTACCAGCTCATTATGACAAAAAAGCAGCTAGTGAATTTTTTTTAAGGAGATGGGCATCATAAAAGCTGCTATGAGAAAATAATTATTGTGTTATCAATGTGTACCCTTCTATCCATTCAGCTGATGGAGGCAAAGATCTGTCACAGTGACCCAAGCTGGTTATCCATTGGTATTATTATTTACCTGTGACAAAGTCTCAAATATTCTTTGTGAAGTCTGGAGTCTTTGGCAAAAAAAAAGAAGAAGAAGCAAACATGGAATTCTCTGAAAGTCTTGAAAGTCTGAGAACTATAAGCAGATGCCATCTTATCTTTGAAGGTAGTCAAACTGAAAGTTGCTACGAGCAAATTGGGAGCAGCAGACAAGCTTCCCAAACGTTAGTTTGAACATTGGTTGTCACTTAAAATGACATTTCTGTAGGCATTGTTTCAAATTTCACACTTGCTTGGATATATTTGGTGTTGTGTGATCATTTTTAGCTTAGGTGTTCCTGGGAGTTACTGCTCTGTCTAAAAAGACTTTTCTGAGTGATCACTCGTCTAATGTCACAGATGGTTCAAGGGTTGCAAAAGGTGTGGGTGTACTAGATCCTGCCAGTATACTGGGGATGTTTCCAAGAGATAATTCACCAGTTTGTCCTTTTTTGCCATTGTCCCTACAAGACTTACAGCAACATGGACAGCAGAGTGATGTATGATTCCGGAATTTCCTGCAGGTGCCAATCCAACATTCTGTAAATGTCCTCCGGATGGTGGAGGAAGAGAAGAAGAAAATAATAGGATCCAACACCGTGTTGAGAGAAGTCAGGCAGAACGTCTCTGTTCTCCAGGAAGGGCTTTTTTTCAACACAAAGCCCACAACGTGGGAGATATTGTAAGGAGCAAAGGCCAGAGTGAAATTGAGCACGGTAGCCACAGCTAAGCCCATGGCCCTTTGCCTCTTCTGGGGCTTAATGTTTGGCATGCTGTTCAAGATGCGGATCACGTTGACATAGCAGGAAACAGTGATAAGGAATGGAAGTAAGAAGAGGACAAAGAAGAGCTCCAGGCGGAAAGGGAGGACAATGACAAGCTGCTCGGGGGAGAAGTCATGGTAGCAAGTGACGTTATCTGTATGACTCCATGAACTTCCAGGGAGGTAGTGAACAATGAAGACGATACAACCACAATGGGAACAAGCCAAAAACCAGAAGAAAAGGCTGGCAATTTTTGCATAGGTTGGTCTGCGGTTGAGCTTGTGTTTAACAGGGTAGGCGATACACAGATAGCGCTCTATGCTGACTCCCATGAGGAACAGGGTGCTGATATAAATGCTGCTGTAGAAGAAGAAGTTTGCCAATGGGCAAAGAAGGGAAGGAAGGGGCCATGTGAAAGCCAGAGCAACTTCTGCCATCTTGAAAGGCAGAAAGATCAGAAGGAAAAGGTCAGAAATGGTCAAATTGAGCAACAGGATATCTATGGGGACCGGTTTGTGACGCACTTTGCTCAGGAAGGAGTAGCAGGCCAGAAGGTTGCAAGGCAGACCAATGATGAAGGCAATGATATAGATAATAAGCACCATGGTTTTGTTTTCCATGTTCTCAGATTCTGTAAAGGAATTAGACATAATTAGATGTTTCAAAAAACCAACACAAGTGTTTCTTATTCCTATATCTCTATCTATCTATCTATCTATCTATCTATCTATCTATCTATCTATCTATCTATCTATCTATCATCTATCTATCTATCTATCTATCTATCTATCTATCTATCTATCTATCTATCTAACTATCTATCTATCTATCATCTATCTATCTCTATAGCTCTCTCTCTCTCTCTCTCTCTCTCTCTCTCTCATCTATCTATATTCACAAACATTTTGAATACAGTGTATTGTCAGGGCATATCATTTACAGAAAAGCAAAGAAAGAACAAAAAGGAATATTAACATATATACTAATAGCAATAATAATAGTGTAAGAATAGTTTTAACTAGATTTCTCTTTAGCTTATTTGTAGTTCTGTTGGTTATATATATTGGCATATTTATCATTCTAAACCATCTTTATATTTAGTTCATACATAGCAATAATCTTTCTTCAACTAATTTCTATCTCTTATCTCTAACCACTTGTAAAATCTATTCTATGTTGTAGTGTTCTGTGTCTTCTTTGTTCTTTATTTTTAATGTCTATCTATCCATCTCTGCACAGTCTCATATTTTCCGAATCATATCATCATCTGATGGGGTGTTCTTATTTTTGCAGTATTGTGCAAATACAATCCTTGTTGTTGTCAACACATGCAAAACTAGATATATAGTCCAGCCTTATACCCAACAAGGATATTTCTGGTTTCAGATCTGTATGTTGCTTGGTCATCTTTTCCAATCAGGTATGTATTTTTGTCCAATATTTCTTGCTTTCATACAAATCCACCACATGTGATAATAAGTACCTAGGGTCTGATTATACTGATTATACTTCCAACACTTGGCGGACATATTGCTAAACATTTTTGCTAACCTTGCTGGTGGCAAATGTCACCTATAAAACATTTTATAGAGATTTTCCTTGTATGCAGGAGTATTTCTTATTTCTCAAGGCTGAAGAATATTTTTCTGTCTCTGGGATAGTTTCAATTGGCCCTTTGGGGAAGGGTGAATCCGTTTCCTTAATGGTCCTAAAACAGATTTTCCAATGCTCTAGAGGTGCTCAGATCTTATCCATGGATAGATCATCTTCCCTCTTCTGCTCATCTGACTACATAGAATCAAATTTAGTTCATCTCTTGTTCTCCCTCATTCTCTAATCTGAAGCCAGCTCACAGCTTCTCATACTTGTATACAGTATTGTTGTATACCGAACAGTTCCAAATTCTTGTATTTTTGGAAGGTGTTTGGAATACTTCTAAGCTTATGGTGTATTCACACAGATAGATGGAGAGCAGGATCAGACTGGATATTGACAATTAGTAAAATATAGAGTAAAACATCCAAATATTATTATTTAATAGATTTATTAAGGTGTCCTGACTTCTAAAAGAAAAGATTTAATTAGAGATCTTGTATTCCTATGATTTTAGAGTGTGGCTAAAGTGATGTTGTATTACATGCCAAGAACACATCTAATGTATGTTTTGCAAAATGCTCCAAATCCACATTGTCTATATACTTCATGGAAGACTAGCATCTTGGAATGATCTATTAGACAGTTGGGTCAATTCTGGTTGGGGCAGATGGTTCTGGAAATATTTGGCACCAAGCCATCAAGGACTTTATAGATCAATACCAGTACCTTAAATCAGGGCTCTCCAACCTTGGCAACTTTAAGACTTGTGGACTTCAACTCCCAGAATCCCTCAGGCAGCAAAGCCTTAAATTATACCTGGAAGTCAATCATTAGTGAATACAGGGCTTGCATAATTAGTATTATAAGTTCCCAACACTGAGAACCAATTAATACATGGGCTGATGCATTCTGGACCAATTGCAGTTTCCAAGTAGTTTTCAAGGGTAGTCCCATGTTAAGTGTATTTGCAGTAACTCAACTGCATGGCAATGAAGAATGTGAGTTACTATAGCTAAGCTCTGACATGATCAAAACTGATACCTAGCAAAAGCTAGGTAAAGAATCCTCTGGTTATAACCTTGACGTTGTTTATGGAGGAGCAGTCCAGAAGGACTTTCAAATTGCAAACCTGTTCTATTCGGATATGTACTGTACAGGTCATTTCATGTAAACAGGTTTAGCTTCCATCTATTTGGTTCCATGCAAACTTTCACAACCTCATGCATGAGGTAAGTATGCTGACAACATGCCCCTTATTGGCCAAGGTGTTTGCTGCAAGTTTGACACCCTTGGACCAGACATACCAAATTCCTGGGTTTATGATTTCATATAGATTTCAAAGAGCAGGGTGAAAAAGCCATGACTACAGCATCCACAATATGTAGACTGCCAAAATGACCCACTACCACAGACTAAAATCACCTACCAAAGAAGGAATAGATAAAAAGTACCTCTAATCCCAACAGGCACATATTATCATATGTGGTGGACTTGTGTTATAAAGCAATAATAATAATAATAATAATAATAATAATAATAATAATAATAATAATAA